CAACTGCTAGTAACTGACACCACTCTTGATTACACAAGCATATGTAAGCACCTATCTTTAGAACCTTTACGGCATCGTAGGTTAAGGAACAATCTGATATTTCTCTACAAAGCAATAGATGGACTGTCATTCTTAACCTCCTGCCCAACTATGATCAATGACCCAGCCTATAGACTAAGAAATAATGCATATACGCTATTTACCGAAAACCACCAAAAACAAATGCGTTGTAGGTTTTTTACAGTTCGGTATAGTTTATTGTGGAACAGGTTGACAATACTTATCCGTAACTGTGACACCTTTACTAAATTTAAAAGGCTAATAACCTTGTTACTAAACTCTAAAGAACTTCACCAACTATTCCTTGAACTCCCGCCTACCAATGAGGCACTTTATTATGGACCGCCCAATATCTAAACGGAACATGAATATAACGAATTCCATTGTCGTTAGTTTGAATATAGCAAAACTAAAGAAAACATACTTTATCCTTCCCCACTATTTATTGATTATTAACCATGGCCTTCCGCTCCTAACCCTCATTTTCAGTTTCCGAATCTCTCTAATGGATAAATCCAAATTATTCTTCCTAAGTGTCATGTCCTTTTATTTTTCTTATTACAAGTAGACAGATAACTCACTAATCTTATGGATGCTGACCAACTAAGGCCGATCAAAAGAAGCTCATCAGAGCTTCAACTACAACTACAAGGTAGGGAAATAAGGCAATTCAGCCTATATATGTAGAGAGCCTATGATGTCTTTGTGAGACGTGGATGTGTTCGTTTGCGCCAGATCTGTGCAGGCAAGGACTTGATCAATGAGTCTTGCAAACGTATGTAATTTGTCTGTCATGCGTATTTCAGAAGGAAGACTGTTCCATATTGATGAGTACATGATAAGGAAGAAGTTTTCATGAGTTTTTGATCTGTGTTTTTCAATTTTGACAGTGGATACTATGTCTCGATTGTTGTATCCATGTGAGTCTTGGTAGAGAGCTATATTACATGTGGAATAAGTAAGGTTTTTAAGGAGTTTGAAATGAAGAATTAAGTTAGACCTAAGCCTTCTTTTCCAGAGGGGTTTGATGATGCAACGGATATTCTAGTTTTACAACTAGATACCAGTAGCACCTTCTAAATTCGATTGTTCCCAGTCAGATAGAAATCAGAAGTCAGACGAGAAGAGGCAGGAAAGATATATTTGATTCGTTACCAATATATCGAGGACCTTTTCTATGAGCTGGCTAATGAAACGTAAGAGCAGTGTCCCACGCCGAGTCGAAACGTGATCTGGTACGGATGCATGACCGAAAGCCTTCAGCTAAACAAGTCCACTTAAACACGTGGTCAGCATCCAATGTCGAACACTTAATGAACTATTGATTTTGGGGAATTATTTACAGCTACAGGTTCTAGTCCTAAGATATGGCATCTGGATTTGTAGTCAGTGAGTTGGTCGTTCTTAAGTATTTTGCGAGTGAAGTCTCGCTGTATTCCTTCCACCCCAAAGTATATCAGACAGGCGTAGGTTGGAAAATAAGAACGAGCAGTATTCGACGATGGGACTTACGCAGGCTTTGCACAGGATAACTTCAGTTTCGTTTCGAAAGAAATTACGAAGGATGGAGTCAAGCAATCTCCGCATTTGAGATGCTTTTGTTGAGATATGTTCTGAGAAGTTAAGACTCAGAGTAATGTGCCCCAAGGTCAGTTACTGATGTCAGTCTGGGCAGTGGGTTTTTGTTAAGTGCTAGTTTTAGTTTAAGTGACGTATTTCCAATACATAGCCAACCGCATTTCTTTGTGTTGAGCTCTAGCTCCCAGCGTTTGCATCAGTCGTCTACTTTGCTGAGTTCATGTTGGATCGTTTGCATAGGACTACGTACATCACTAATGTCAGTTTTATAGATGACTTTTAAGTCATCAGCGTAAAGGTAGGTCTTACCTGTGGTAAAGCACTTGCATATATTGTTGATATAGATTATAAAGAGCAATGGACCCAAGACACTACCCTGCACAACACCACTGGTTATTGGTCGAGGTGTAGATGTTGTAGAGTTAATCTTGGTTACTTGGTATCTGTTTGTGAGGAAAGACTTAATCCATTGCAATAACGGGTTTATAATTCCAACTGACTGGAGTCTGATAATTAGGCTCTCTACATATATAGGCTGAATTGCCTTATTTCCCTACCTTGTAGTTGTATCAGATACTTTCCCCTCCCTTATTCTTTCGAATTGAAGTAGACAGGCAACTCACTGGACCTATCAATACTCGGTCGCTAAACAAATACCCTAAAACGTCAGAAGAAACGCACAATAAACTGCCTACTGCCAGTGGTCGTACATCCACAGAACCTGTCACCCAAAAACCGGTTAGAATAGGATAGAAGAACATCAGTACAAATTTAGAGTGAGTTCCTTCTTGCCTATTCTTTATTAGCTTCTTACTCTTCTGTACACTATATTGCTTTCCATTAATATTATTTCACCACTCGTTATCTCACCTTATCTATAACTAAAATAAATCTACACTTTTCCGCCTACTTTGGTAAACAACTATCCTACACTATACCCTTCCTAATGCCAATATCTGATTTGCAACCTATACTTTACACTATAGTCAATTAAAGTATTGCATCGAAGCCTTACCCACAGTCCACAATTTGTAACTGTCTGATAAGCTTGTAAAATGGTACTTATAGAAATAGTGTTTTACAACAGGATGTGAAACAGAGTATTGTGTGAGGTATGATATATATTCAAAAAATAAGCATAAATGATCTTAACATCACAAAAGGAGGGAGGGTGGAGTTACTGACCAGCAAGCACTGATGGTGAGGGCGATGATTTCAATCCACCCGTGTTTGTGGGGCAGAACATTTTGTCTGTATCAGGCTCTTTATAGATGAGAACAAGTCAATCAATCTGTGATATTGAGATTGTTCTCCTACACTCACCATTGAGACTCATGTTTCTAATTTTTGTGATGGATTAACTATTCTACTAAGACAACCTATAACATGCTAACTCGAACTTTTACATGAAAACCGTGTGACAGGCACCGGATGATGAAAAAAAGAGAAAAAGAAAAGAACAGACTGTAAAGGATATGGTTGTTATTTTACTCAACACTCTACTCTCTATATGCACTCTCTGTTCTTCCTCTTTCGAGTCTTGACTTCCCTCCTTCATTCGAACCTACTCCACCTTGATAAATATCACAACTCATTGTTCGTTATTACTGAATCCTCTCCTCTAGAGCCCCTAATCACATTTCTTTCTTGCAACATGAGCTAGTATCAATTTAATCTAATAATTTATCGTACCTCCGTCTGTTCCACTAACAAATGTTAAGCATTGGTTATCGTTCATATCCAAATGCCTTGCTGCTCCTCGGTTTCTCTTTTTTTTGTCTTTAGAATCCTGCCCTGAGGGTGAAGCTAGGTAACTTCTGACATCTGGAACAAGCTCGATGAATACGCTTTCCCAAGGTCATAGTTCAAACCAGGCGCTCCTCAAGCGTACTTTATAACAACTATAAACTTAAAAAGCTGCATTACGTAAATACTTAGCACGACCAAAACCCTAATACACTTTTTGTCGAGATTGGATCTGGTATGTAACGTGAACGCCATGCTCCTTTGGAAACTGTTCTTATGAAAACACATTATATCTAAACGAATGAACTGCTATCAACTTTTATAGATTATAATTACTAAATAACCTTGTTTGGGATGCATACTGTGAACCAGTATATGTTGTAAATTGTAGATCGTGCCTGTAAAAATGGTGTATACCTGCTATAGCAGAAATATATTATTATTATTATTATTAAAATATTTACCCGTGCTAGTCGTCCTTGTAGTTATAGAGTATCTGTGGAGACGCAGTTACTGTACATACTACTTATAGACTAGAAAGTAAAAGGTGAAATAATTTAGGGAGGAAGTACGTAAAACTAAAGTTTCGAACAAGAAAAATAGCAGATATAAGTGAAAATGTACTTCGACTGTCTTAGCAAGCGGCTTTACGTGAATCCTGGAACTTATCCACACGTTTAGTGGTAGCAATAAAATTGACGCGTTTATATTGCAGTTTGAAGATACCACCCATATTGTAGTTTGACAACTCTTTACCAGTAACACCTATGATCGAATCTTGCCCACCCAGTTAAAATCAGAAGTCAGAAGCGAGGAGGTTGGAAGATATTGAAGATACGACTAGTATTCTAGTTTGACAACTAGAAACCAGTAACACCTTCTATGTTCGAAGCGTTCCTCAACCAGTTGAAATCAGAAGTCAGAAGCGAGGAGGTTGGAAGATATTGAAGATACGACTAGTATTCTAGTTTGACAACTAGAAACCAGTAACACCTTCTATGTTCGAAGCGTTCCTCAACCAGTTGAAATCAGAAGTCAGACGCGAAGAGATCGGAAAGATATATTTGATACGTTATCAATATATTGAGAAGCGTTTACTCTAATCTGGCTAGTGAACGTAGGAGCTGTGTTCCACGCTGGTTCGTAACGTGATCTGGTACGGATGCATGACCGAAAGCCTTCAGTTAAACAAGCTCACTTAAAACAATGTGGTCAGCATCCAATGTTGAACACTTAAGGAGCTATTGATTTTGGGAAATTATTTACAGCTACAATATATTTGATGGGTTATCAAGATATTGATAAGTGACTGATACAATCTGGCTAATGATCGTAGGAGATTCTTCCCACACCGCTTTGTAACGTGACCTGGTACGGATGCATGACTGATCGCCTTCAGCTAAACGAGTCCACTAAAACTAATGTGGTTAGCATCCAATGTCGAATACTTACAGCGCAATTGATTTTGGGGAATTATTTACAGCTACAAGTTTAAGTAAGTATGAAGAGAGAAGCTGATTGAGACGGCTAGGCCTACATCATAGTGGTTGAACTTTGATATAGTTATGGTTGTTAGATTTGTTACTAAAGTTGTCTACCATCAAGTGAAAACTTAGTTCGTATCCACGGGGATGTTTAAACATTCCAATGTGATTATGGAAAAACGATATTCCTGGTTATTGCTAACATGTCGACAAAGTCACTGCAGACTGGAAGATCGCCTGTGTAATGTCGAGTGCGAAGAAATCAATTGATACACAATAACTCGTCATGGTGCTATTGAACAATTAACATAGTGAGAATATAAAAAACATGTTCCCCAGCAGAAGGTCGTATGACGTTATCGGGATGATTCTTGTTTTGTGTATCTTTGCTATCGTGCATCAGGTCTCAGGAAACTCATTGACTTTTGAGTTGGAAGACAGGTCTGGCCAATGTTTTTATGAGGAGTTTTCTAAGGGTGATAGCTTTACCCTAGCGTTCAACGTATGTAGTTAAAATCACTAAGTATATAACAAAATCAGGTAATATCCGGTGGGAATTACGATGTGGACATGGTACTTAAAGATCCTAGCAAAAATGTCCTTAAATCGCTTCACCGTTCATCTTCTGAGGAAGTCAATATCGATGTTTCAGTGGACGGTATTTATAAGGTAAGTTATTCGGATTCATTTGAAATTATTAACGTTTGTAAGAATAATCTTCGATCAATATGTTTACGTAACTCGGAGCTGAATATAAAGTCAGGATGCTGTCATAAACTTTACTGACTCCTAGCTGTTAATATAAGTTGTCCTATATTTTCCTAGCTTTTCCACCCAAGCCGACATCGTGTTAGCTATGTACTTAGTAATTTCTGCATATCTAAAACAAAGCACCCCTTGCTTCCGAGGAAAGAAAAATGAAGTTTCACCAGTGATACTCAAGTCATATAATCGTCACTTAATCAGTTACGAATCAGCGTTTGTAAGCATGGCATGTGTTTCTCACCTTCCAAGTGTTACGTACTTTTACAAGACTGAGAGGAACCTGTACCCACACTCATTCATGGTAGTGAGTAGTGAGAAGTATTCAAGAAGTTCGTGTATCTGGATAGCTGTGTAAGTCCTGGTGGTGGGTTTGAGTGATGAGATGAATTCACGTATAATGAAAGCCAGAGGGGCGTATGTCAATGTAGACCATCTTTGATGCCTTCATGATGGTCTGGCTGTAAAAGGTCGGATCTGCAACGTTGTAGAGTATTCTTGCTCTGTGCTTGTAAAACTTGGCCTTCGGGTTGAGGATGTTAACGATTCTTCTTTTACTATTGTACTCACCTTTATTTCTCTCTCCCCAAACTCATTTTTTATTTTCTTCTTTTCATGTGTGACAACTTGAACCAATGCTCTAGATTGATGATGAAAAACTAACTGTGGTGCAATAATCATTTTTTCCTTTAATGATTTTTAGTTGATAGTGCGTTTTTAATCGCGTTTTATTAATATAAAGAACAAGGTGGAACCCTCTTGTGGATAGGTAGTCTGTGCCTGTGGATTCCTTGACGTAGCTTTCACATGTATTGTGATGTGAAAATGCAGACGTTTCAGACTAACATTTATTTGTATGCACATCCATACAACTGACGTTTCCCAAATGACAAAATTTCAGCCTTAGATTCTTGACGATAGTCTGATAAGACTTAGTAATTAAATATCTATTTGTTGTATCAGTTGTCTAACATTTCAGTGTGCGGTGCGAGTACTTCTCGTAAAATTGACAAGAATCAATCTGATAGTAAAATTTATCATATCAGATGTTGAAACCACCCAACAACATACTTTTTGAGAGAATATGAAGTAGGACCTGAGAGTCTTCACATCAAAATCAGCACAACGAAATGAAATTAACATAGTGAATATTACACGGGTCAAAGTAATTGTAGTAGCACTGATAGTAAAGGAAACTAAACACTATGTTTATGGTCCGGCAAGAAAGAAACGTAAGGATACGTGTGAATGAAAAGTGTGACCCAGTATTTTGAGGAAGATAGTGGATCCATCTGCGCCACTGCTACGTATTCTGACTTGTGTCATCCAATGAACTTGACTCAGTCCAGCGTAGCTCAAGTTGCGATAACATATCATCATGGGGAGGCAAATATTCAAGTCAAAATACTTGTAATATCAATAATAGTATGGAAAACTAGAAATAAAGAATATTATTCAAGGGGAAGGTATGTATGAAAGAACATTGAAACCTAAATTCCAAAAGAAGACAAAAAATGAAGAGAGTAGTAAACTATAAAAGAAATCGAGAGGTTTGAATTACAAGGTGATGTGATGTTCAAAGTTGCAATAGGATTTTATGATTAAGCCATCTATCCCACTGTGAGTAATAGTTTGTATCGTCCTGGTGATTTCAACCAAAGGACCATCTTTATGTATATTCCAGACTAACATACAGAGGGTCCAGAGACTGGTGTTACATGGATTCGAGGTCCTTATCCTCTTTTTAACAGTTCTCTAATTAAGGTAGTATATTGTGGTAATTGATAACTGGATATTAGATAAACCAACTTGCTCACGAGGAAAATATTTCCAACCTAATTTAAGACTTGAAAAATAATATTTTGTAAGCATCTTCAAAAAATGTTTACAACTACAAATTAAAGGAGTGGCTAATCAAAGATCAATTACCCAATAGTCTAAAGGGAGAAAAACGAAAATATTTAGTCCAAATGCTCAGTACGAATTTAGAAAGAATATTTCTATTCGGTGACACACTGTATTCGTGAATTATCGGGTTGTGACAATATATAGACAGTTGATAAGTCTTCAATCAATTATTATTGTGTAAACATTCCTGTTTGTGTTCCACCTGCAATGTTTTTTTGTTTTCTTTACTATTTACAAAGTTTTTTATATCGGTCAATACAGCGAATTTCTTAAACAAAATAAACTTCCTAAGTACTAAAGCTCCTTCAAGATGTGTCTATCTAACTAGTAGCATCCAAAGACCCTTAAATTAGAAACTTCACTCATTTGCGGCTTATTAAGTGGAATGTTATCTTTCAGGAATATAGAATAACAGGCATTTATCTATGTTCAGTCTTGTTGCTTCCGTGTAAATTCCGAATAACCAATGGTTGACAACCTTGGGTGACATAGTTTGAGATCGTTTGCGATGGCCGAGGTGTACTCATTTTTTATTTTCCCTTACTTCATGAGTTCCAAAAGTATACTTTTCCATTCCTTAAATTTATATGTTTTTTCGCACTTTTTAATTACCATTGATACTGTTACCATTTATACTCTGACGTCACACACGTATACATAAAATGAGATTTGTGCAGCGCATGTATATCTGGTGTCCCTTTGTACCAATATTTATGTGTTTAAATAAATAAATCTGGGTTATTTATAGCTGAGTAACTGAAATAGCGCTCAAAACTAAAATTGTATTTGTATTTGGTATTTAGTGTCCATCGTTTTGTTTTATAGGATATACTTTTTATTTCTACTCAAATGTATAGATGCAAAATTTACATCGTAGCAGTAGAAATCTATGTTTTACATTCATTGTTGTATTGTTTTATTTACAGGTTTGCTTTAGTAATTATTTCTCTTCTATATCTCACAAAATTGTGTCCATGACATGGCGCAATTCCAGTTTCAATCCTTCAGAAAGCACATCATCTTTAGATCACAGTACCCAGGTGAGTTCATTAAATATGTTTTAGTGACTGTTTTGCCTTTATAGGTGATTGATTGGGATATTCATAATTATAAAATCAATTAACTTTACTTGCCATTGTCGTGACCTATTAGTTTTAAACCCTTTATCTCGTTTCTGATATTCTTCACTTTTCACTTGTTTGGAGGTTTCTAGGTCAAAATGACATAAATATTTTACTGTTTGATTGAAATAATTAGCGTTATTACCGTTAGACGTGTTGTTATGCAAATCAATTAGTCATGATATGGTCATGAAACGAGAAAAAAATTGAAAGGGGTTCTGTTATACAATCGAGTTCCCTTATTATCAGTCCTTCCAAAAACGCTTTCTACACGGAAATCATTTCCTATTTATGCTATTTTCTTTGTCATTAAGTTCAAAAACTATCAAGTTATACAATCACTAGAAGTTAGGAAGTACTAGAGAGCTGTCTCGTCCTAGTACGGGACTCCTCAGGAGTGAATATTCAAGATCCTACCGGCTATCGTACTCAATACTTCCAGGTCTGGCGACAAGCACTTAACATTTAAACCTCTGAGCTGACATCCAGTGTTTTACGTGTTTAACGTCAATCAACCATCTCCAAATATCATTGGTAAGTAACTGCTTCACATCTATTACTTTTGAACTCCATTAATCATATCTTCTCACTAAAGCTTCGGAAAACTACCTCTGGAAACTAGTTACGAGCAAACACATCAGTACACGGAAGGTTATGGAAATTATTGAATGTTATTGAGATCATTAATTAACGTAAGTTAAACAACCAATAGTCCACAGGAGTAGGACAACTTTGACTAAAATAATACAGAGTTGAACAGCTTAAAGTTTTCGTAGCTCACATTTTTAAAGAAATAATCCGAAACCTAATAATTATTTTCTCTTTGTCTTCTTTTTTTTTGTACAATTGTCTTCGAAATTGCAGATTTCAGAGAGTTTATATAATTTACACGCAACAGTTTCCAAGGCTCTAACTCAGCAATTTGAAAGTCGTATACTTTTAGTACGATCTTATTCAAATGCCATTTTCCTTCATAACCGTGTACTGTATTGGTCATTAGGTCAAGCATTAGTTATTATTTTATTTGGAATTGGTCAAGTCATAGTTATGCGATCGTTCTTTTCATCTCCATCAAATCAACGATCTGCAAAGCACATTCCCATGTCTACTCCACAACTGCATACAGTTGGTTTTTAATAATTTTTTGTCAACTGATCTCCTTTATCATTGAAATATAGAACTTCCTTCTGTATTGAAAGTTTCCTTTTGGAATATGTGATATATATGTATATATATACATATATATACATATATATACATATATACATATATATACATATGTATGACAATGTGATTTTTTTACTTATTTTGCATATTTCCTGGGTTTCTTATCCTTTTTTTAAAAAAAATTATATCATTTTAATTTTGTAGTCTTTGTATTGTTTGTAAAACAGATCTCTTTTTTAAAAAATCTTTGGTTGCCAACACTTTTCGGTTTTATTGTTCCTATGTTTGTTTGTTTTTCTTTTTGAAAAAAGAATTAAAAAAAATAAGTTCCATTTTACACAAGGTATCTAATACATGTATGTATGTATAATTTGATTGGAATCTTTTGATTAGGTCATCACTCGAAATGATTTCTTACACTGTTTCTTTTAAGTTTCTTTTGGTAGGTTTTGTGAAATGATGTTATTATATTCTTATATAAGCTACCAGATATATGTACTGGATATATTTGCTATGTTTTCTCTAAATAAATGGAGATAGTTGAAAGGAAAACTATTCACGGTGTTTTGCATTAGTTAAGATTTATCATGCTTTCATTATTATTTATTTATCTAAACACATAAATGTTAGTACAAAGGGGCACCAGATATATATGCGCCACATAAATCTCATTTCATTTGTGTAACGGCTGTGATACTGCCCACGTGACCAAACCGAAGCAGGTGGTTTTCTTAGGGAGTCACATCCAGAGCCTTTGACCTAAAGGACTGATCCACAAGGCAGTGGAGCATCTTAAAAAGATGCAGTCCCATGGTAACCGGTGATCAACGATTGATTCATACTCCATTTGTTCCCTCAGGATACTGGAGCCCATGTGCACCATTGATTTGGAATCAGGGTTTTCCAACTCCCCTAGGTGGACCCTCCATGTCCACCGACCCGGGTAAAGCGCCGGACATTAGCTTTTCGTCCTGTCAATTTCGTAAACAACAGTAATGTCACGAGAAGGCAGTGAATAGAACTTCCCTGGCAGAGGTTACATACGCGTGGTCATATGAGAGCATTTGGAGAGGGAGAGCGGACTCTCCCCACTCTCGACCGTGCCAGGGCATTTGGGGGGGGGCTTTCATTATGCTTTACTTCGTCTTTTAAATAACCTTACTGGTTACGATAAACAAATTTTATCGTTATCTTATTCCATGTTGAGAAGTAAGAATTATTTGAAGCAAACGTTCTTTTAAGGGATTATTATTATTATTAGCTTTATCCAATATTATATTTTTTGGTACAATATAGAATTCTCAGCACAAAGTACTTCAACAAGTTTCCGTTTCTTACTTCTTCATCCTTCCTGACGATAAATATTGAGTGATCGTTAGCTAGAAGTTAGCAGTCCAGTCAATCGACATCTGAATAATGTACGTTCTTCTCGCTGCATATTGCCAGCAATCACGATATCTCTGATTAGGCCTTCTGTAACCTTTACTGCGGAAGGTCTTACAATTTTCAGAAACGCACCTGAATAGGTTGTGCGATTAATAGGCATATTGATGTATTAAAACAAACGAAATTAGATAACTTGTTAAAATATCTAGATGACAGGAATAGGTAGCCCAGATGTTTAAACAGGCCGCCATGACAGTACATTTTATAGTACAAATTGACATCTAGACGTCCATATGAAACTGATCATTTTCAATATAATGCATAGACTGCTTTCTGTCTTGTGTATAGTATGGACAACTTGAAGGTCCGATGCGTGATTACAATTTCAAACAACAACTGACTTTTCTTTTGGAATTATTTCTCACTAGATGAAAGTCATTTTTTTCATGCATATTACTATTCCCATGGGGTTTTCTAAATAGTAAACAACAGGATACTTTTCTCTGTACCATATTCATGTTATGGAAAACTACATTGTTGTTAATGTTACTGGTTTGTGGAACATTTTAAGGTGAATGATCAATACCCAGTTTATTACTATGAAATATGATACAGTTGTGATTGTTAACTTCTAATCTATTGACAATAAAGTGTACTAAACCACAATGAAGACCTTGTGTGTGATGGGTTTTCATCGTAAATTATAGTACTGTCATCTGTTTATACATTCATGTTGAATTCATTTGTCAGACAGTCATGAATACAACTTCGATTCCATATGCATTAAAATTCTAGACCATGGAAATTCTAAGCAGTCTATAGAAGCATGGTATCCAGACCAATTGGTAATCAGAAAATACATCAACATAAATTCGACCTATAAGCACATAAGGAAGAGACTAACCAGTCACAATGCCAAAGGTCAACCGCCAAAGTTAGTCACCATAAATATATATCTAGAATACTTAGTATATATATAGGAATTTTATTTGCAAAATATTAAAATTCCTCATTCGTATTTCAGTTGGATCATGATCGAGTTTTACTTCAATGTTTAGTAAGATTTCTAGAGACATGTTAAAAATGTCGAACTGATAAAGACAGTTTGTGAGTCAATACAGTATGCTAAATCATAATCCTGGATCATTAAACACTTTAAATAACTCACCGATTCAGATTCCAACCAGTTCTCGCTACTCTTTGTTACATTTGTTTTCATCATTACCTCTGATAATGAAGTTAATCTGGTCATAAATTAAAATCATGAACAGTGTTCACACACACAAATACACACGGACACGTATAGGATGCATCAAAAAGAAGATTCATATGCGAAGTAAGCATTAGGAGGTAGACTAATGCTAATAGAGTGTGATTATGAGCTGCTGGCGAGAAAAACTGGTTCGAAAAATATCCGATTGTAGTTGTGTTTAAAAACGTAACAAAAAGCATTGGACAAGCTCTATGTATCTAAATTTTTATACTACTAATTAATTAACATAATTTTTCAATGTTAGATAGAGTTAGTGTTAATTTAAATGATAAACATTGTGTTATTGGATTGTTACAATGAAGAATGAAAACTTGTTCACCACTACTAGTCAGTGGTGAACTAATTGATTTTAAGGACTTGTTCAATTTTGAACGAATAGTTAGTGAGTGAATGGTAATAATGGAGAATGATTACGAAACTGAACATAGTAAGTAAGAAACACAAACCGACAGTAAGATGATGGGTGTACTAGTAGTGAGCAAAATAATAACGATTCGAATCAGTGTTGTTTAAACATGAAAAGAAGGTGGAAACATGGAGAATAAGACAGTGAAGGGACAATGATTTATAGTCTTTAGAATAATGTTATGCGAGGAAGAATACATACTGTGTGAATAAAAACAAGTAAACAAAGGATATAGAAAATAATCAATTGCAGTCCTAAACATCAGTGGAAAGGTCCAAATGACCAAATACTTACTACTGTTATCCCTCGTTGGGGAGCATAGGCCAACCACCAGCATTCCATCCAACCCTGTCCTGGGCAATCCTCTTTAGTGGCTATTCATCCTCATATCTGCTTCCGATTCTCGACGCAGTGTGGTCTTCGGCCTCCCATTTTTCCGTTTCCCTTCAGGTTTCCGAGTTTGCGTTTGTCTAGTGATGCAGTTTGATGATTTCCTCAATGTGTGCCCTATCCACTTCCAACATCTGTTTCTAATTTCCTCCTCAGATTGTGACTTTGATATTGGTTGATAGTTGTTTTGAGTTCTATATTGTTTTAACTTGTGTCCTATCAATATGCAACATAATGACACCGCTCATTAGAGGACGATAACTTATCGATCTGACCAATGATGTATAAACCCGTACGAGCAGTCCTTATCGGTCCTTTTTCCTGTCTAGACCTGCCTGTTGAATCCAGAACACCAACATCAGCCTCCGCGATATGAATCATATATTTCAAACATACTGGGTTTCTATATAAACCAAACAGACCACATCGTACCATTAAATAGAAAATAACATTTGTACAAGATTTGGCCAAATGTGGCTGTGAATGTGGGAGACTGTAATTAATAGAATGGGCATAACGGTAAATCGTATAATAATAATCTATAAGTCAAAATAATGGTTATAATAAGGGAAGTATGAATAGACATAGTTTAGTTACTTACCAATTACACAATAAAAATATATGTGTTTAGTATCAGTGGATAAATAGATCTCTACATTTACCATTCGTCATTCTCGTAAGAATATATCACATGTGTTCTTCAACTGTAGAAATGTCCTTACTTTGCCAATCCTCGTCTTTTCGTCTGCATCGGATCCTCCTCGTTTATCGGTGATGCTGCCCAGATACGTGAACGTTTCCACATCTTCTAGAGTTTCTCCATCAAGCGTGATCGATTTGGAGTTCTCTGTATTGCATTAGAGGATTTCGCTTTTTCCCTCGTGGATTACTATTCCTTCTGATGCAGATGCTGCTTCCACACTAGTTGTGTTGACCTGCATTTGTTCGTGTGTATGGGATAGAAGAGCTAGGTGATCTGCGAAGTCCAATTCTTCCAATTGATTCCAACCGGTCAATGGTATCCCGTGCTCTCCTCAGATGTTGTGGTCTTCATAATCCAGTCGACCATCAGAGGAAAGCGAAAGGGGGAGAGTAGACAGCCTTGTCTGACACCAGTCCTTACTTGGAATGCATCTATCACCTGTTATCCATGCACGACTTCGCACTGTCGTCCGTCGTACGAGTTCTGGATGATGTTGACAATCTTCTTAGAAACTACATAGTGCTGGAGTAGTTTCCATAACGTTCTACAATACACACTGTCAAGAGCCTTCTCATACTCAATGAAGTTGATGTATAGTGACCTGTTCCATTCAATTGATTATTCAACGATGATCCGTAGTCATGATTTGGCGTGTGTACAACAGATTCTTACGGAATACAGCCTGTTGATTTCGAAGCTGCATGTCCACTGAACCTATCATCCGCTTCAGCAACACTCCTTTGAAAACCTTTACTGGTATCGATAGAAGTGTGATGCCTCTGTAGTTCCCACATTTTCTCACATCTTTCTTTGGTATCTTGACCATCGTTATATGTGAAGCATTGCAGACATTTGATGGCAATACAATGTCAATTATCCAAACGTTCGTCAGTGCTGAAATTCAATTAGTGTCACCAGCTTGAAACATCTAGCTGGATTGGTCGTGTTTTACTT